TTTGATCAATGCACCTTTTCTGTAAGTTTCTACGGGTATGTCTTCACTAGCAACGTTAAAGTGCTGCCATGCACCGCTTTAACGTGGCTGTGTAGTCACGGCACCAGCGCTGGGAGAGAGCTCTCCCAGTGCTGTAAAAAACCCACCCCCATGAGGGGAGCGTAGCTCCCAGCACTGGAGCACTGTCTTCACTGCCACTTTACAGCGCTGAAATTCAGGGGGCTCGGGGGTGTTTTTTCACACCCTTGAGCAAGAAAGTTGCAGCACTGTAAAGTGGCAGTGTAGACAAGGCCTATGAGACACAAGGCTCCAGGCTCACTCTGAGTTATGGCTGTAGCCAACCCAATTATACTTTTGCCTTCTTTCAGCATGTGGCTGTCTCTTGTGTACACCTATGTGCACCTCTGTTCAGAGTCTGTGGTACTGCTGTATATTTTAAATGAACTTCTTCAGCTATAGGGACTGAATGACTCAGTCATCAACAAACCAACTCTTGGAACTGATTCATTTCTAAGGCACAGCCCCTAATAAAATTCAGTTTCCTGTGAAATAAACTTACAAATCAAATTCCCAAGCCCCCCTCTATACAGTGTGACACGTGAGTGAGGCAGAGGTCTTCCCTCAGCACTGCTAGGGTTAGGCAGGATATCTCCACATGCCACCTGGCACACACTGCAGGGTCTGGGTGGACAGGGCTGCGACTCCGTGTTCAGCTCCCCAGCCAGCAGACATGCTACCATTCGCAGCAGCCGCTAAGCAGCAACGGGTGAGGTAGGGGCACCCCAGTGGCAGTAGCTTGGCCTTGCCTTACCCCAACAGCAGACCCAAGGGTTGCCGTGTCAGTTCCCTCGTGGCTCTGGCCAAGGCAGGGCTCAGCCACACAGACTGTGCTCAGAAAGGGAGTGTCTCAAAGGCTGAGTACAAGTTCTCTTTGGGTGTGAAGGCACCCCAGGAAAGGAGACAAGGCGAAGCATGTCACTGGGAGGTGAGGAGCAGCAGCAGTCTCCGTCCCTGCACACCCAGTGCTTCAGCGGAGTGGGGAAGAAGCTGCCCGGAAGGAGCCCTTGCTCTGCAGTGAGCTCAGAGCAGCTGGCAAGGGGGAATGAAGAATCTGCTGAGTCTGTTTGATATTTCTTGACATGGTCCCATTCTCATGAACTGCATTCGAAGGGTCCTCGGAGACAAATTCCACTCGCTTCAGCTCCAAGCCCATGCGCCAATTGTCCCCGACCCTGCAGCCATTTCTGGCCAGGGCCAGTGAGTGCTAGACACCACTCCATCATAATAGCAGCGTTTTAAACCCACCATGCACAGACATAAATGACTCCAGAGGCTGCAGGGCAACGGATAATCTGTTCATGTGCCAACTCAGGCTTGAACACACCACACTTGCACTCAGCCTCCAGCTCCCTCCAGCCTGCTCCTGGCCCTGCACAACTCAGTGAGAGTTGCTACTGACTTCACGGGGAGCAGGACCAGCGCCTCGGTGCAGCTGGCCACCTCAGCCCAGGGTTGAGGGGATATTCACTCCAACCCCACAATAAACCAAGCCGTGCTTCTGAATGCTGGGATGACAACTCACTGCACACTCAGAGCAGCAAACACCCGCTCTCAGCACCAACTCACCAGCTGCAGATCTTGGGGAACCAGGAAAAGCAAACACCCTTTTACTGGGGTGCATACATTTAAGCATCACATAAAATAATCATTGCAGGCAATTACAGCCTCCCACAGTGAATTCCACTTTCCAAGCTTGACCTCGAGGCCAACCATCCAACCTTGAACCAGGGAGCTGACGGAAAGCCGGATCCTGATCGCACTCACCCTGCTGCAGCCACTCTGACTCGGCAGAGCAGCTGCTGATTTCGCACAAGAGGGTGCTCACGGATTTCTGCATTGAATCCAGTTCCCAGGCTTCTGCAGCTCCACCAGGGCAGCTGACTGAAGTCACCCTCTCCCGTGTCAACCCAGCCTGAACTCTCCTGCAGCCAGTGGGACTCTGCAGGGGAGCCCGGCTTGGGGTTACAGCATTTTGTCAGACACTCTCCGGGGGAAGCCAGCCTCCCCTCTCCACCTAAGCTATTTCAGTAAAGGCATGCAGCAGAGATCACATTTGGAACTGATGTATTGAGGCTCCCTATCTGCCATTACTCCAGCTGTTCTAACAACTGCGCGGCGCCTTCAGCCTATCCCAGGGCAGACAGACGGGAAATACATGGACCTTTGCATTTTCACTGACACGATGAAGATGTTTTATCCTGCTCCCTGAGGCCTGAAGCTTGTCACAGTGAATGAGGCTTGTCCCAAAGCAATGCAATGCAGAAGCATCCCCGAAGCACATTGATGGAGGGAGAGTGAACGACAACTAGTTCTTCACTGCCTGTGCCACTGAGTCCTGCCCATATGCACTGGCCTAGAGAACAGTGTCAGCCCCCTTTGCCCACCCAGGGGCAGTGATACAGACAGCTGCATGTTCTCCTGGGCAATGTAGCCATACAGATAACCCGTGCCTGGGAGTGCTCTCCAATTGTTAACCCCTTCAGTACTGGCTTGCCAGCACTGGCAGCACCTTTGGGGGAAGGGGATCCTGAAGGGCTAAAGCCAAGGTGTACATGACTCCTTACTAACCCTCTGCCTGCAGCATGGCACAGCACATGTCGCTCTGTCCATCCTACACATGGCAGCAGCAGAGGCAGATTCCTGCCCGCGCCTTCCATCTTTACTCCCCTAGTCAGTCCAGTCCCTACCTCAGACCTTGGTGCCCTTCTGCCAAGTATCCTGGTCTTCCCTTCACATTGATACCCTCCAGCCCTCCTTCCTGCACCTTTGGCTCCCTGACTCTCCCCAGCAGCATTAGACTCCCCTCCTGTGCTACCTACTCCCCGCACTTCTTATTTCCTCTTCGCTGGCAGCATCACCTGGCAACTGTCCCTTCTGATGGTGCTTCCCCATCAGTGATGTCGCCGTCCTCTGCCACACTCCTCTACTGGTGGTTCCTCAGTCTGGCTGCCCTCCTGGACCCAGAGATCCCAGGCAGGGGCACGGTGGCTTCCACCAAGCCAGAAGAGCACTAGGATTAAGAACTCCTGGGGTGTCCTCCCAATTTAGCAGGGTGACCGCCGGGAAGCCACTTCCCCTCTCTGAGCCCTGGCCCTGCAATGGGGATTAACGATACCCAGCCGCCATAGGGAAGTGCTCGGAGTTCTGTGACCGACGGTGCCAGGAGACTTTGTTCTGATTACACATTTCCCCCGCTGGATTGTGCCATTCCACAGTACATTAGCTGTGGCATCGCGGTCGCCGCTTATGTAGCCCGCTAGTGAGTGTGTGTGACAGGTCCCCCCAAGGCCGATCTGCAGAGGAGATGAATTGTTCCAATCCCCCTCCTCGTGAGCCTGGGCTCTCTAGCTCAGGCTGTTAGCTCTGTAGGTCCCTGGTTCGATCCCTGGGGCGCCAGCCAAGTGGGTGGCTATCATGCTTGCACCCCAATTCTCATACCTCCCTTGTGCAGGGACCACTGCATGTCTGTCCAGCATGGGCCACAGGAGGAGCTCCTCTGAGCTACCCCAGACATGCAGGGACCTGTAACTGACTCCCGAGCTCTTCTCAGATCTCTCTAAGAAACAGCTCTGGTCTTGCGGGCCCCACACGTTCATATCTCCCCCTCCGGTCCTCACTGACCTTCCAGACTTTAACTTTGTAACAGTGTCTGTTACAGAAATGAAAGGCCCCAGAGGAGACTGCGGAGACAGAGAGAGCCTGTGGAATAGCAAACCAACCCCTGCTGTCCAGGCTGCCGCTGTCCAGGGTAGGCACTCCATTCTACGTTATTCTAACGTCCCTAGGGATGCTATTACCCTGAATTTCACCACTGCTGCCACCTAGTAACGAAGCTCTTCTCTCCTGGCCTGAAATTCCCAGTGCTGCAGTGTCAGTAACATGCAGCACCTGTGACACCACATGCGTTACGCTGTGACACTCCTGAGCCTTGTTCAGAAGGAGAGGCTGGGGCGCTAGACATGGGGAATGTGATCTATTGCTGCGGAGTGCCCCAAGGTCCCTTGAACAGGGCCCTGTCGTTTATGCACTAGCAGAACGTTTCTGTGATGGGTGCCAGGGAGGGCCCAGGCTGGGGTACAAATCTGTGAATTTACACAGCATGCGAGGAAACGACACACATGCTGGAGCCAGCAAGGGGCCCTTTCTGAGGGCCCCTTGAGACAGAGACAAGCTCTACAGATGGCAGGGCTCGGCTTGCCATTACACGGGGCTGCCAAGATGAGGAGGAATGAGACATTAATCCTCCAGGGGCCAAACTAAGGAAAAAGCAGGTCTTGTTACGGAACTCGTGAAAGGGGAACCCGCCGGCCATGCAAGCAGCAGCAGGTCCCTGTCGCTCTGAGTAAACACTCTGGCCTCAGGTAACACTCCTGCAGTGGCCGCGTGTCTAGGGCTGGCCCAGCAGCAACTTCTTACCCTTCAGAGCTGAGGCAGAGCCACAGACTCCATTAAGACACATGAGCCTTAGCCCATGAGCCCTGAGGAACCTGCAGGGCTATGGACCAGCAAGCTGGAGTCCAGCCTTGTGCATCTTCTGTGAAATGGCCAGTGGAGATCTTATGGGAGGACCTCTGTGACTAGGGCTGATGTCAGGCAGAACACACTGAACGTGGCTTTATGTTCTGACAGGACTTCGCAGCACCAGCCGTTTCTACACTGCACCATGGCACCTGAGCAGATTTGACCCAAAAGCCTTTGGGAGGGCCTGTGACCTATCACCTGTTCAGGGTTACTGCAGAGAGTCATTTCGCAGTTGGCATTAGTCGGCAGCTACAACTCCCTGATCAGTGAGAAAGATGGTAGGGAAAGCACCAGCCACTCCTCTGTCCATGACACGGCCCTGTAAAGGGACTGTCCTTTCATTACACTGTCTCACAGTCAGTTTCAGGGCAGGGATAAAGGGGGAAGAAAATGGAGCACTTCCTGGCAGATCTCCTTACCAGGTTGAGGATCCCACCATCACTTCCCAGTAATGGCACCCGCTGTCGATGAATATGTTGCCTGCTGCTCCGTAGCACCCAGTACCGCTGAACCTCTCGGGTGTGTGGCTCTTTTTCAAGGAGCTCTCGTCCTTTTCCATCTGCAGCCCATCATTGGAGAGCTTCAGCTTCTTGTGAGCCATCTTGGGATCCAACTTAAAGGGCTGACCTGAAAAGAGGACAGAAATGCCGATGGTTAGTGTGTCTCCTTCCCTGTCACACAGGCTGAACCTGAATTGCCTCTCTTCTGCCTGTTACACCAAGCCATGGGATGTGAGAAAGGCATCAGCCAGGGTACCTGGCCCTTCCAACCACATACCAGAGCATTGATAAAAAGTACCATATATTCTTGGCACCCTCCAGGCTGCCCCCGCTGGCAGGACAAGGGTCAACCACGTGCCTCACTAATCTACTGCCAAGAGCTGATTCCAGAGCAAAAGATCCCTCTAATACTAATAACAGCCCACGCACCACTTGAGTCCCATGTAAGTCATCGCAACAGGACACAGGCAGGAGCTAGGTGGTGTGCTGGCATCGTGAATTTATTTCATCTTCATTGACCTAATGCAGAGAAGGGAGGAATAGCTCGGAGGTGAAATCAGAAGAGATTTATGAAGTTGTGCTAGAGAGAAATAAGTCTAATTATAGTTGGAACAAATGCAATAATTAAAAAGAGAGCGAAAGCGTGGCCACTTAAGAATGGAGTCAAGCATTGCTCCAAACTGCTGGTCTATAGCATAGGGGCTGTTTTTACATTTTCCTTGAAGCCTGTAAATGGTTTCTCCTTGGTGTGGACAGGGTACGGGACTGGGACTGAAGAGAGCTAGGTCACAGCTCTGCTACAGATTCGCTGTGTGACCTTGGGCAGTCACTTAAGGCTCCATGCCTCAGTTTTCCCATCTGTAAAAGGCAGATAAGGAGGCTGCCCCTCCTATGTAAAGTGCTTTAAGATGTATCCATGAAGGGTTCTGGGTAGCTGATGAGTGCTATGGTATTGTGTAATCATCCCAGCTGGGATGTTTGGGCGGGGAACTCTCAGTCCTGGGGAACTCCCCCCCAAATTGTGTTATTTTGTTCAGACTTACTGCAGTAAACACAGTCCCTTTAACAGAAATGGGGAGCTGGTTCCAGATAATGGAAGTGGAGCCTAGGATGCCCTAAAGCAGTGGAAATCAAATCTAAGCATGATAAGCAGTTTGAATTCGTTAAAGGGTTTATTCTCTATTACAGTGGGTTTTCAACCTTTTTTCATTTGTGGAGCCCCAAATTTTTTTGACTGCAGGTGTGGACCTCTTTGGAAATCTTAGACATAGTCTGCAGACCCCTAGAGGCCTGCGGACCACCGTCTGAAAACCACTGCTCTATTAGCATTAATGAAAGTTATACAAACATACTGAAAGGCAAATAGACTTTGAGTACTGGTACAATAATGTCACTGAAAAACAGAACTATCTAGCCAATCTCCACACACCCACCTCCAGCCGGTGCCATTTACTCCCTGCAGTATATGTTCAGTTATTACACATTGCAGGAAATATGCCCTTAGTTTCTCAGTACTTTTTCTATTGCCAGCTGAAAGTCTCAGCTCAGTGTCTTCTGCTCGCAGGCTGTGCCTTACACACCGCTCTAGTTACAGAAACAAACCAAAGGCGTACAATGAAATCTGGGTTTGCACAGGTTGTGGTCATAAGCATTGACACTTCCCCAATCCGGTGGCATCAAAGAGCAGGCGCTGTGTGGCACATGCACTTACAGAGAGAGTACTTCATTCTCAATTAACGGTACAGATTTTGAGGGGTTCTCTGCAGATCTTTTAATGCTGGCTTGAAACACAACTGAAATTTCTTTGTCATGCTACCAGCCGTCAGAATGCCAAACTATTTCCTAATTGACATGCACTCACTCTCCTGCTCGCTTTGATAAAAGCCTTCTAAAGATTCATTACAGCCAGGGAACATTTGGCCTTGCTCACGCTGATAAACATGGAGGAATCCAGAATTGCCTCTTCTGGGAACCAGCTCCACAACCGATTCAACAATAAGTGCTAATGATTTTCTGAAAGCCTCTGTTCTTTGCTATGCTGGGAAAGGTACGGTGCCCTGGCTATAAATGAACAGGATCAGATTCTGCACCAGGAAAAAAGGAATGACTCATCTGACTCTGCACAGCCTCATGGCAGGGCAAACTCACATGCTGACAGCTCTTGAGCCTGGCTTTCATTTGCGCAGGAGACAGGTTTCTTGCAAAGCGAGTGCCCTTGAATCTGGAGGGCTGGGGAATTCTGTGTTATCAACCTATGCAGCAGCATCCTGAGCCACAACAGCTTGCACCAATCACCCAGATTCACCTCAGAAAAAAAGAGCGTGAATTTACTGCCCAGAAAAGCAAGCCCCTAAGAGCATCACTTTGAGTCAGGTATCATGTGGGCAGACACTGCTCATTTCCGCAGCGGGAGGCCAAGCGCAGCGTGCGTAGGCTCTGTGCAACCAGTTCTGCCAATGCACTGTAAGCTGGACATTCAGCATCCCCTGCTGTCCTAATCCGGCTCCCCACCTCCAGCAGATAGGCAACTCGGCCAAAGAATCCCAGGCCTGACCCTCAGTCCTGCACTTTATTCCAGCCCAGTGGGCCTCACACACACAGCTGGCTGATGCTCCTCAATCCTGACCGGCAGCCCCCCCGCTGTTCCTGCCCAATGGGCCTCACAAACGCAGCTCTGTCACAGCACTCCAACCCCCTCTACTCCAGTCCTGGATTTACATACAGCATTTCCAGGGCACCTCAGCCCTGCCAGTTAAGTCCTGAGGCCCTCCAGAGCAGAGGGCTCCTGGTCTTTCACAGAGCTGCAGGACTCAGAATTAACAGATCAGTGGATCATTAGGCATTTAGATTAAAGGGAAAACACACAACAAAACCAGGGCTAGCTGGGAAAAAACACCGGAGGGGGCAGAATGCATCCTGAGAGTCAAACTGAGATTCTAGCAGCTTGGCCCAGCCCGAGGATATTGTACCAATAGCATCTGGACAGTGATTGGCACTAGACAGGGCATGTGATTACAGCACGGGACTGGCATTAAGGAGACCTGGACCCTGTTCTCAGCTCTACCATGGACGTGTGGAGTGAGCCTGGGTTACTCAATTCCCTCTCCGTGCCACAATGTCCCCATCTGTAGAATGGGTAGTAACATTTATCTAGTTCACAGGTGCTGAAAGGGCAAATCCATCGTTTGCAGGGTGCTCAGGTGCTTACAGGGTGCTGCTGTAAAAATGCCAGGGTTGTTAAAACAAGAGTGGCTTTTGTAGTCACAGAAGGACTGAAATGAGGGACCAATGGGAGGCTGCACTGCAAGGGAGACTGACGCGTTTTCGTGATACTCTCTAATGGGCTGAAAGAGGCAGAGGAGCCGGAGACTGAAACACAGGCTCGCTAACGAGTCTCTTCACTGTTTAGAAAGCAGGCCATTTTCTTTTGCTTCAAACTTGAGCACAGATGACAAGGAAAGGAAGGATGGCAGCTGGAGATGGGCACTACTGATAGCAGTGTAGGGCTTCAACAGCAGCCAGACAGCAGGAGAGAGATGGTTATTGTGCTCGCAATGAACTGTACAGGGAGAAATATGAGCAGCCTATAATGAGCCATCCTTTTCCAGAACATAACCCGGCGCCATAAATCTTCTCTGCACAAACAGCAGTGGTGAGGAGGCGCTGCAGCTGGGCTAGCGAATCTGGACTGGCTCATGCAGAAGGCCGGCGGCATACACCAAAGGGATGGCCTCCCTTTGGATCTCCATTGAGCTGCACCCATCAGGCTGTCCGGGAGACCCAGCAGAAGCAGAATCCCTAAGCGTATGTCTAGACTGCAATTAGACACCAGGTCTTGGGCGTGCAGGGCTCGAACTAAGGGGTTGTTTCTTTGTGGTGTAGATGTTCCGGCTCAGGCTGGAGCCTGGGCTCTAGGACCCTGTGAGGTGGGAAGGTTCCAGAGCTTGGGCTGCAGCAGGATCCTGAACATCTCTACCGCAGTGAAACAGCTCCTTAGCCTGAGCCGTGTGAGCCCAAGTTAGCAGGCACGGGCCAGCCGTAGGTATCTAACTGCAGTACAGACATCCCCAAAAGGTGTGTCTACCCTGCAGTGGGGTGTGTGCTTCCCAGCATGGGGAGACAGATGTGCTAGCTCTGCCTGAGCTGGTGCTCTGAAAATAGCAGTGTAGTAGTGGCCTGGGCAAGGGACTGTGTACGTATCTGGGGGTCCAGGCGGGTTTGTACACAGATGGCTACCCTGAGCTGCTACCTGTGCTATCCTAGCTACACTGCTAGTTTAACCCGCTTGCTCAAACAGAGCTAGCGTGTGTCTGTCTGCCCATGCTGGGAAGCACACTCCCAGCTGCACTGCAGACACACCCAAAAGCTCTCCCCTGCATCCCAACTCCTGACAACTGTCAGTTCTAGAGCTGACCGAATATTCCGTCCCATGGCAACTTCCATGTTTTAACATGTGTTTGCATCCTGAATGGGGATGAAAGCTGAAATATTGAAACATCGTGTGTAGCACAAAGTTCTGAAAATGTTTGAATCAGAAATGTCAAAATGTTTCACCATAAACCACAGAAACCTCCTGGGGGAGGGAGTAATGTCTATATGAAAATATGCATCCTTCATGTTGAGAGCTGCAAACCACATCCCCTCTGCTAATATAACCATCCGGAATTCCAATTTTTGAATGAACATGTTGAGTTGCTGAAGAACTAGAATGGGTCTCCACTCTCCTCCTTTTTGGGGACTAGGAAATGCGGGGAATAGAACCCTCTCCCTTTATACTGAGATGAGAGGTGCTTTATTGACCCTTGTTGCTGGAGGGTTTGCCTCTTCTTGAAGAATCACCTCACGAGAGTGGTTCCTGAAGGGGGCTTGTGAGGGGCGGAGGGAGAGGAACTCCATGGCGTATCCTTGATGGATAATTTCTGAGATCCAATTGTCTGTCGTGATCAATTCTCAATTGTGGTGAACAGCATAAGATGGCCCCTGAAAATAATGGGGGAAGAGATGGGTGGCATCAGTGGTGCAAGGAGGGTCTTGACTAAGACATCAAAAGTAGCCCTTTGCAGGTGACCGGGCATGGTGATAGAGGGGGCCAAGGCCTCTGAACCCTCTGCGGTCCCAGCAGAGGCT